TATCGAAGCCACATAGCTTCTGCAACCCCTGCAGCCATAACTCGATATTCAGCTTCAGTGGATGATCTAGAAACACGAGTCTGCTTTTTCGTGCACCAAGAGATGATATTAGGACCGAGTAGGAGTATGTAGCCCGTGGTAGACTTGCGATCATCTTTATCATTGGCCCAGTCAGAGTCAGAGTAGACAGATAGGTCGAATCCCCCCTTGCGAAAAAGAAGACCATGATTCAAAGTGCCTTTGAGATAGCACAGAACGCGTTGCAAGGCATGATAGTCCTGCTCAGTGGGGTTGTGCATAGTTTGAGACACTCGATTAACAACATACTGAATGTCTGGACAAGTGACAGCCAAGTAATGTAAACCGCCAACAATGCTCTGAAAATGAGAAATATCCTTGAAAGGCAACGAAGGCTTAATGATAGGTCTCGTAGCCATAGGAGTAATAGCCAGATGACAGTCGGACATCCCAGCTCGGCGTAGAAGATCACGGGCATATTTGGATTGATGGAGAAGTATAGAATCTTGTGTGCGCTGAACCTCAATGCCAAGGAAGTAATGAAGAGGTCCAAGTTCTTTGAGCTTGAAGTCACGGTGCATGGCCTGAGTAACTTCTGAGATGAGAGTAGAAGAGGTGCCAGTGAGAACAATATCATCAACATAGACAAGGACAACAATAGTCCCACGAGAGCAGTGTCTGGTGAACAAGTTGGTATCATGAATACAGCACTTGAATCCAAGGCCCTGCAAAAAAGAGGAGAGGCGTGTGTACCATGCACGGGGTGCCTGTTTGAGACCATATAGTGATTTGCGGAGCTTGCAAACATAGTGAGGATGAGTGGGATTTATGTACCCCTGGGGCTGCTCCATATAAATTTCCTTGTCCACTGTACCGTGAAGAAAGGCATTGCTAACATCTAGTTGATGAAGAGGCCAATCACGGTTGAGTGCTAAAGAGAGGACCAGGCGCACTGTTTGTTGCTTGACCACAGGACTGAATGTCTCCTTGTAATCAATGTCATACTCCTGATGATAACCTTTTGCGACAAGACGAGC